GAGGTGAAGTACCAAATTGTTCAAGATTTGGAGAAAGGCCCGGCAAGTTGATCTCGGCGCCAGCATAACGCGTGTCCAACGAATCGATTAAATGCGATCAGAAAGGATGCAGCCAGATCAAGAGCACATAAAAATCACAAAGTCTGCAGGTGCTTCATCTGCTCAGGTATTGCCAGAACAGAAGTGCTGACAAAAAAGTGGAAAATTTGCTGGTGGGTTATTTGGTCAAAGTCGGTAGCGGCCTTGCCAACATGGCGGTGGACAGCTCAGTGCAGGTGCGCCGTGAGCTGCTCTGTAGCAGTGACCGTGAAGCGCTGGGAATTGCAGGAGCCCAAACCCGTAATGCTTCCACTCTGGTTGGCTGCATAGGTTTTGAAGAGAGGAACAAGATCACCAACATCAACATTGGTGGTGAGGCGAGATGCTGACCGTTAATGGCGGCTAGAATTTTCCTCCGTTTTTTACGGTAAAGTTATGGAGGAAGGACAGTACAGTAGCGACCAGGTGTTGTTTAACATGGACGAATCTGGTCTTTTCTGGAAAAATTACCTTCAAGACCTTCGTTGTCCAGTCTACCCAGCAGGTAAGAGTGGGAAGTTGTTGCAGAAGGAAGCATATCACCGTCCTGTTTACCACCAATACCCTCGGTACCTGTAAACCAAAGTTGCCGGTGATTCACACAGCCCGCAAGCCTGCGCCTACAGAATATGGACATGAACCTTGCAACACAATATCCCGCTGGCTAACCACACCGCGTAAGGCGTGAAGTTCATCCTCTTCTCTGTCCCTCTTCTGGTTTGACAACTGTTTTGTTTCCCGACATGAAGAAGAAATTCTCGAGAGCAACAGAATGTTCCATTCAATATTTTGTTGCTCGCCCGACCTTTTACTGGACACTCGCCCTACTTATGGATAAAATCTAGCGTAAAAGTGGTCTTCCTTCACTCAACTTTCGTCATTAATCAGCCCATGGACCAGGGTTGATCTGCAATGTGGCTGCGTACTCTGCAAGAAGTTCAAGCTCCTGAAACGACTCTACCAACACCAAGGATGAGTTCGTAAGCTGGGTGACACGACAGCCCGAGAGCAAAAGCGGCGAGGACAAGGAACAAGGCGTTGACTCAGAACTTCTCGATCAAACAATCTTGGAAGGATTTAACGGTAAACAAGCTGCTTAGACTTCTTGAATTTGGAGGCATGGGATCTGCTGACTATTGCTACGATTCGTCACGCATGGAGACATATGTTGCAGCATACCAGGTGAGAAGGGAAGGTGAACCTGTGACTGAGTCAGGTTCAGACTGGCGCAGTAGCAATGGACCTTGCCAGAAGAAGCTACGCTCAATATTACAACTGAAGGCTTCTCCGAAGACCACCAGCGAAGACATCTGGAGGTGATCAAAGATCCTGAAGTGACTGCCGACGAGATGTTGCCGGAAGAAAGAACTACGCCAGTGAAGAGGAGGAGGAAAGAGGTGCGTCATTCTCCGAAGAACCTAGTTTAAGTCATAGTGATGATATTAAAGTGTGTCCATAGAGTTTACAGAAAAAATTAAGTCCGTCCTTTCCCCTTTGACAATGGCGATGAGCGCTATGAAGTCTTCCATACCCGACTGGTGCAGGCTATGGAGCCGTTACATCAAGGTGTATCCGACAACATCAACACCAGCGATCAGCAAAGCATAACCGGGATTCTTCGCCGCAACCCACCACAGCCAGCCCAAGCCAGTGATGAGTGAAGTTGACTTTGAGGATTTGTCAGAAGCCTGACAACTGTAAAATGACAGTGATGTTGTTGATTCACCTAGTAATGGTGATTCACCTGAGGCCAATAATCTGCCACTCTGCCTCAGAACCAGCCTCCATCCCGTATGCCGACCCATCTCTTCTACTACGTAAGTGTTCCTGAAATTTTCCCGTTTTTTAACCTGTCTTTATTTTCTATGTTAACCTTTATCTTTCCTAACCTAACCTCTTCTATATTACTTGTTTTTCATACCATCATAAAGTTAAGATAAATTTTACTACAACATAGTTATGTAGTCAAAAGTGGAGTTTAGGGGGGGTCGGGCTGGGACCTATTGGAATTAATCCCATATGTTCTGTTGTTCATAGCAGCAGTTTCATAGCAGGACCCTCTGGGTTCAAAATTGACTAGATTAAGTGGGGTACAATATATATATATATATATATATATATATATATATATATATATATATATATATATATATATATATATATATATATATATATATATATATATATATATATATATATATATATATATATATATATATATATATATATATATATATACAGCTACATTTAAACAGGCACCTCAGGATTACTTGTAATTTGATTAACGAACTGCCTTCCATAGAGATCTTCAATTAGGATTAGCGAAAAAAATTAAGCTTAACGAACTTCTTACGAACCGACCTCAACATCATTTTCGCTTGCACTGACCGGGCAACCAGCTTTAGTATCCAGTCATAATACATTAATGGGTTCAGGAGCTTAAATTCCTTACTATTTTTGTAAATATCCAAGTTTATACTATTCAATAATTTTAAAGTTTAATATTCAATTTTTTAGTCATTTTAACAATTATTGAACGAAATTGAAGGTAAGTGACTAGTTTAATGCAGCGGCATCAGCCTCTTAACACAGCAAACGAAGCGTCAGTCTCTCTCTGTTTCACTGGAGTAACACATCTTTGGCAGAAGACTCCCTCTTCAACTAAATGCTTTTTGTCTGTGTTTCCAAAGCAAATTATTGGTCATTTTTTGAAATATATTTTATATATTGACAATATATAATGCAGTGCAGCATTGATTTAAAATAATCTTGAATTAAACAGAGCTAAAATTTTATGGTGAAATGGCACCATGGTGACTTCTCTTCACCCCAATGCCTTCTCTTCTTCCTTCTCCTCCACCCCATTCTAAATCATCATCATCATCATCATCCAGAGCCTACTACACACCTCAAGTAAGTGAACTTTTCTACCATTTTTGTGAATTTGGAAATTTTTGATGACTGAACCATTACCAAAAACCCATTGAAACAATGGTTTGATTAGCAAACGTTTAGTTAGCGACCTTCTGGAGCGGATTGAGTTAAAATTACTTGAGGCCACTATATATATATATATATATATATATATATATATATCTGATAGGTATACTTGAACAGTTCTACTACGAATATTCCTAATTGACGGTTTTACCTATAAGGTGAGAATGCTATAGTGACAAACTCTGCTTGAACATTATTTAATTTTTTTCCAATTTTGTTTTTTATTACAAATATTTATGATATTCTTTATTTCAGGGGTTTAGATGCATCTTTATACTTTTTTACAATTTTAATTTTATATTATATTTTCAGTGTTAAGTGGTTGTTATTTGGGCCTGGAGCGGATTAATCCTATGAGCGAATGCTATAACGAACAAGGTTCTAGAAACCAATTAGATTCGTTATAGCATACACCCACTATATATATATATATACAGTACCCCTCAATTAAAACTCCGTCTCAGAAGGTCGTTACGTTACAAAGATAGTCTTGAACCATTGTTCAATGGGTTTTGAGTAATGGTTCCAGCTCACCGAAATTTCTAATTCAACAAAAATGGTAGAAAAGTTCCTTACTTTGAGGTGTGTATGTAGAAACCCTGGATGATGATGGGGTGGAGAAAGAAATATTATTCAAGATTTTTCTTCAAAATCAACTATACTACATTATATATATATATATATATATATATATATATATATATATATATATATATATATATATATATATATATATATATATATATATATATATATATATATATATATATATATATATATATATATATATATATATATATATATATAAGTAAATCACTGTGGAGTGTAGCGTGAAGTCTGGGTGTATACAGTAACCACAAGGAAAGAAGAAAACACGAAGTTCCCAAACCTGGAACACTCCAATAGCCGGAATTGAAATTTTCTCGGAAAATATTTCCCAAAGCCAGAATTTTCCGGAAAATTCCGGTTTTGGGAACAATTTTCTGAGGGGCACATTTTCTGGAAAATTCGGAGAAAATTTTCCCGATACCTGGAAAATTCCAGGGAATAGGGATATTTTTCCAGGTTCAAGAGATGATGTAATGGGCAATTTCTGGAACTTCCAAGAACGCTTTTCCGTTACCCGGAAAATTCCGGGAATGGGGGATTTTTTCCAGCTTTGAGAGAATCGTCTCGTTACCCGGAATCTCTCATTCCCAAAAGTACTCTGCACCAATTGTTCCGGTTAACAGAGATATCACTGTACATACTTACTTAGTTAAACCCCCTTTAAGTTCCAAAAATTAAATTTCGTTGAAAATCTCCGTATAGGTACTCCTGACCACTGCTCATGATCCCACTTGGACTTACCCAACCTTAGTTAATTCCCAAGTGACCCACTGCCACATAGCAACTAATCCATCATGCAGTCCGAGCAGAACTTGGCCCGTAAACTGAAGATGTGAATTACATGAAAGCGTTTGGGAACTTCGTGTTTTCTTCTTTCCTTGTGGTTATCAGCATATATATATATATATATATATATATATATATATATATATATATATATATATATATATATATATATATATATATATATATATATATATATATATATATATATATATATATATATATGAGAGAGAGAGAGCCTATAGGTTGTTTCATTGTAGTTTCTCATATTACTTAAAACATTATCATGATAGATTTGCTTCATAAATGGGAAAAAGTTTGATTGTAAATTGAAAATATCACAAGGTGGACAAGACAACAAACTGTTACACTGTCTGTGCTAATACAATATCAACATTACTTTTGTGTTACAGGTAGGTAGGATATAAATTTTGGTGGGTTGGCCCGCAGAAAAATACCTAAATTATAATGCAGCCCATGACAGAGGAAAGGTTGCCCATGCTTGCTCTAAGAAAAAAGACCCAACATACCTCATATGTCTCCTCGTGATCATTAGCATCAACTTCATCCTTGGTGAGCTTCTTCTGTGGGAAATGTTTGGAGCTGCAGATCCTCTTGGATTCTCTTTCAGTTTTCTCCTCTATTCCTACTGTGTTGTCATTCATATAGTTGCCAATGGGTACTGTGCTCTTGTTTGTACTACAGTGCCCATCCCTATTCTGAAATTATACTTATTTGTTATATCATTTTCTAATTAGTCATTTAGATGTGCTATAGGACTTCTTAAGAAACACAAATCTTTCATCCTTTTTCGTATGTAATAACAACCTACTTAATCATCCAGTTGTTATTCTGCAACATTTAGGTTGCAAAAGAAATTACAAGTTATTCGTATATAATTTCTTAGTTTCCAGAATAGTTTTTGAATTTACTCATAAATACAGTACAGGGTATTGTAATTCTTATGTAGTTGCTCAGTCTTTGCCAGATCAATCTTTTGTCAACCTTCATCAAACACATCCTTTACAGCTACCTAACAATGCAACACTCTGAGAACCAATTCATACATAATGGAACCAGTATACACTGTACCCTCGTTACTTTGGATCGTTATAATTCGTATATATTTTTTAAACGAATTAGAAGATTTGAATTGGGAATGAATCCGAAATAAAAGATTGGCTCCGAAAAGTTGCCTTGGCTGCCACATAAAATATTCTATTTATAATTATTGTGCAAAATTAAATAATTTTCAAATGGATGTACAGTAATAAATAAATGTAACAATTACATTATGAGGTGAGTTGATAATATGTACATGATATTCTGAAAGTGTAATAATCACAAGGTATAGCCTAATACATACCGGTACTGTAGTACCTGTACTGTATTATGGCATTTCGGGCATATCATGGATTTGTTTTCAAATTTCATACAACGGTACTTTGTTACATGCTGATTATGGATATAGGTTCACAATTTAAAAATTTGAGTAATTAGTGTCTATTGAAATAATTAAAGATACTGTAATTAGAATATTTATAGTCAATTACCTTTATATACATTTTCTTAAAAATAGAGACTATATTTACTAAATGCACAGGTTAGTTTTCACTTTCCGAAAAAATGTTGTTTGTCAAAAACAATCCACCGATATTTTGATACTTGGGGTCATAACATGGATTTTGTTCAAATTTCATACAAAGATACAGTACTACTTCATATGCCGATTAAGTATCTGTGTTCACCATGAAAAATAATCGAGTAATTAGCGTTAATAACCTTTAAATAATTAAAGATATTAAGAACAGTATTTATAAACTCAATTATACTGTGCCCATAAGTTTAAATCACCTTTATATGTATTTTCTGAAAAATATAGACTATATTTACTATACACAGTGCTGTATTAGTACTTCCAGGAGAACAGAAAAACACCAACCAATCTCCTCAGAAACCCCTAGTTAGCGAATACAGTACAGCAATTAGCCTCGAGAAAATGTCACTAAAATCTTTCAAGCATCAATAAAACCACTAATTACCCTGCAATCGAATTTTCAATCAAGTTTGGGCAGATAATTTCGAAACCATTAGCGTGATGGCTTTTAAGACAATTTTGATGGATTATTTACTGTTTTCTCAGAATTAGAACTTAAAGCCGCGTACACACTGAGATACACGCGTACACACTGAGATACATTGTTGTAGAACATTGTCTCTGGACTGTTGAGCGACTGTCTCAAAAAATCCAAATTTGTTGTGCGGCTGTCTTGCAACAGTCCAGAAACACAATTTCGGATGTTTCCTGTTTCCCATCCCATATAGGAAAACGATACAAAATTGATCAGTCTGGATGCATTTGGCAACACGGAGGATCAGTTGACATTCAGCTTGTGAGGTGGGTTTGCCGACACTTAAGAACTACGTACATACATTATTGTTTGCTTTGTAAACAGTACATGTAGTTGATATCTTTTATTTTCAGCATCATGTGGACAACTGAAACAACGTTTTCTGTGTGGGATGTCACATGCCCAGACTATAAAAAACAAGAAAAAAGAAAGACGCCATACAGAAATACTGTAATAAGAAGTCGGATGGTGTTTTGTAGTTAATTTTCTACATACATTTTATTTGCATTAAATAATTATTCTTACTTTGGCCAGTAACCTTTTTATTCACACAAAAAGAGAAGACAAAAGATGAAAGAAAATGAATGAAAAGGAGACAAAAATTAAAGAAAAACAATGAATAGTATTATAGGTCGGTGTATGTAATTGATATGTGCATGGCACAATACTGTACAGGATTTTACTAGTTTATATTTTTATATATATTTTTTTTTCAATTTCATTTAGTATTATTTTCCCTTTACAATATGTCAAATATTTTAATAAACTTATTTTTAAAAATTCCTTCAGGGCATCAATGAGAGCGTCACACACTTCCGGAACGATGGCAGATATTGACCGTTTTGACACTTTGAAGGTATACATCAGGCTTGTAAATGAGTCCCCACTGGCAGGATACCTTTATGTTACTGCCAGGCGTATTTTGGCAGGGATTGAGGCTCGATAGTTTGTACAGGTTGACAATCCCTTATTCGAAATCATTGGGACCAGATACATTTCGGTTTTCAGAATTTTTCGGATTTCAGAAAGGCAAGGTTTTTTTTTTTTTTTACAGGGATCAGACCACCCAGGCACAGGTCACTGACCCACATTGGGGCCTGGGGGCTAAAATATAATAATAATTATAATAATAATAATACAGTAGTACTCCGATTTACGATTTACAAGCGGTCAATTGAACCCACGGGGTACCGCGTAAAGTGAACAACAGAACATATGGGATTAATTCCATTAGAGACCGGCCCGACCCCCAAACTCCACTTTTGCCGACACAATACCTATGTTGTAGTAAAAATAACATCTTAATTTTATGATGGTATGCACACACAATAATTAAGAGAAATACAGTCACCAGGTTAATGACCATTCAAATAATGGACTCAACTCCCCCCCTCTTCCCAGCTCACTGGCTCCTACCTCTCTGAGAAATGTTTGGGTGAAAACACTAGATTTTAACGTATAGTAATAAATAATACCTCAGACTAAAGTTAGGATAATATAATTGACATTTCTGGATTCCTTGCAGGTCAGGGAATATTTTGAATGTAAACTTCATATATTTTGCACAAAAGATAAAATATTTGCTTTGTGTAAACCAAATTATTACATTAGATCTAAAATTTGTATGTCTAATGCAAAATCCATGATGTTTATATTCAAAATGATCATCATATTGTAAGAATTCCAGCAATGTAAATTATATTCTGGGTGGGTAATTTGTATGAATTTTATGAGCTAAACAAAAATATATACTTCACCCAGGTATGAGTAGGTGCACTGCGTAAAATGAAATTCCGGTTCTGGCTAGGTACCACGTAAATGTAGAATAGCATAAAGCGAAACCGAGTAAATCGGGGTATTACTGTAATAATAATAATAATAATAATTGTTATCGCCACAGTAAGATAAACATGAGAGAGAGAGGGTGAGAAAGGGGGGCAGTGCTGACAACGTGTTTGTTGGTCGTCTAATATAAAACAGATGCCCTCGTCTAGGGCTGCGATTGGATGGCGATTGCTCAGTAGTCTACCAATTCTTGCAGAAGAAACAACACGCTGGTCGAACCCAAGACCCTAAAACGTAAATATAAACTCTAAATAACTTTAATAAGTATATTTATGTACTGTAATTTGATCATATTATACAACTTGTCTCTTGATGTATCAACAGATGTAACATGTGAGTTATATTTAAGATGTTAACAGGTTATGTACTGTATATTGGTTGTAATATTCATTCTGTGTCCTGAGATGACAGCATTTGTTATATGTGAATTGTTCTTTAACAGGTTTTGAACGAATTATATGGTACACGTCAACGTTGAGGGTTTATTTCTCCAGCAACAAACCAATAAGCTCCTATGAGCGTTAACAATAATAATAATAATAATTCATAGGTCTAGGTTGTGTTTCTCACTTTTGATCTTTTTTCATTCTTGTATTTCTTTATTATTATTATTTTATTATTACAGTATTATTGTTATTATTATTATTAATTTTATTATTATTATTATTGTTATCATTCTTATTTTATTTTTGTGTATTTTTTATTAAAATATTTATTTACTATGAATAATGATTATTATTATTATCATTATTATAATTATTATTGCTATTACATTTTCACCCCCGAGGCCCCGATGTGGGTCAGTGACCTGTGCCCGGGTGGGCTAATCCCCCCCCCAAAAAAAAATATTGCTCCACAATTATTTTTTTTTATTTTCAGAGTTTTTCGGTTTTAGGAGAAAGGGTTGTCAACCTGTAATTTGTTTTGTGATTTTGGGACCAACCATTTTCAGTAATATTTCAAAATCTGAAGCTGTTGTTCTTAAAATGTTTCTAAATCCAGCTGCATCTTATAGTTTCAGGTCTGTCATTAGTTTTTCTCCATATGTTGTCACTTCCTTCAAAAATTTCAAAATCCACCATCGTCTATGTCTTTCCTTGCTCTCCGCCTTTATTCTTCTTAGGAAATAACAACGCAGGCACCCGCCGCAGCGGCCACTTCTACATTCACCAACATAACGACGTTGACTGCTCTTCCCGCCAATTCATAGCTCTACCTCGGTCTAGACATGCAACATTGTTTCTGGACCCTCTCGTGACTGTTGTGAAACAATCGTGAGACAGTCCAGCAACAAAGTTTACCGATTGTTTCTGGACTGTTTCATAACAGTAACTAAACAGTCCAGAAACAATGATGCCATGTCTCCCAAGTGTTTCTGGACTGTCTCCCAAGTGTTTCTGGACTGTCTCCCAAGTGTTTCTGGATTGTCTCGCAACAGTACAGAAACTTTGTTGGGCGACTGTTTCTAGACAATGTATCTTGTTGTGTACGAGACTTAAGGGGTTACCTATTAAGTACTTCCAGAATAACACAAAACCACCAAAAAGTCACCTCGGAAACCCATAGCTGGCGAGTAATTAGCACTGAAAAAATTTCATTAAAAACTAATTTACTTGCAGAGTAATTACAAATAGAATATTCTAAGTGGCAGCTGAAGCATAGTAATGGAGTTTTGTTTGTTGGTTGGAATAATGTGAACAGAAAACAAATGAATAACCGAACTAAAAAAATCGGAAATTGTTGAATGTTAAAATATTCCGAACTCGGTTAATTTGGATATTTTGGTAATTTGAGTGACCCTTGAGAGCCCCTTTTGTGTTGAATTAACGAGGGTATCGTGTATATCCACACATCCCTCCAAATGACTTCTCCTCTAAATACAACACAGTAATACTCTCTTATCTAGTCCTTTATCTCACCATTGATATAACCTTTCCTATTTAACTATTTCTATCATTCTTTTTAATGTGTATTTTCTCTAATCATTGTATCTATAGTGAGTGAGCAGACTGAAGTTTATCTTACTGATTAATCCTTTTATCATACAGTACTATACAAAATTTCTCCTATCAATTTTAATTACATTATATAATCAACTTTCAAACCTCCAAACTTAACTCTTACACAATGTTATGTACTGTACCCTAATTTTCAACATCACACTTAACATTTTACAGTTACAGTTTCAACTTATCCACATACTGTAGTGTAAAATGAATACTGTACTGTCGTATATTGTGTAGGTGTGAGGACTTAAATTACAGTCACCAGATGGGTTTGTGTATTCAACTTGAAAAATTTAATGGTGAAGAAACAACAGCCAGGATAACGTACAAAAACAAACAGTAATAGCCAAAGAAGACATTCATTTATCCATAGTTTTAAAAAGTTGTGGTAATACTGTACTGAAGAGCAGTAAGAAGACTTTCTAAATTGGTGTTGTATTTTACTGTACTGTACTTAAAACCAGGTTATTCCCGTAGATCACACAACAAATGGTTAGACTATAATCTTCAAGACTCTCCCCACACTTTTAACAGCTTACGTCTTCTTAAGTCTGGTACAGTATCTCCCTTTCATCGTCCTTCATAACAGACCTGTTTATATGTTCATGTGTTTATCACAATCCCTCCACAAATGTTGACCTCTCAGATTTTATAAAGATTTCTTTTTTTTGAGCATAATTTGGAGTCCCTCAAATATCTACAAGCACATTACTAAGAAGATTGTGACATTTTGTGACAACCTCTAGAAATTTTTGTTTATTACTACATGAAAATACATATTATATGTTACTTGTATATTATTTGTAATTCGAAACCCATTCCCCAAATATGTAACTGTATATTTTCAGCCTTCTGGTTGCCAAGCTCTTTCAATAAACCGTTAATTATTATTGTTATTCAAATTCATACTGGAGGTATTGCCATGTGCTTCATCAAGCACAGTACAGTATATGCCAGTGTTTCCTTCCATCTCATAAGTAATCCACTGCAATAAAAGTATTTTACAAACCCTTTCATAGGCAATTACAGTACCATGTCACTATCTTCCTTATAGACTCTGGTGTTGCTGATACACAAACTTTGTATCTCTATCAGAATATCCAATTCCTAAATTTCCTAAAAGAAGGATGCTTTCAACAAACAGCTAATTTCTTGTCTCTAATAAAGATCTGTAGTGAAGAATTTCGTAATAGGGTAACTACTTATCCTAATGATTCTTGGAAAAATGTAATTAATTTTCCAGTGTTAACTACATGTACTAAAGTAGTTAAGAACATTAATTTATAATTCTGAAAGAAAAGTATTTACTGAATTAACGTTTTGATGCAACTGAAAATTTCTGTTTGGTTCCATACCTCAACATAGATACAGTACAGGACAGTACTGTACAGTATTGTACTCCTGGATAGGATAATTTAAAATACTTGAGGTGACATATGGTGGTTATCTAGCCTTAAAATAAAACAATAGAACAATAAAGGACTTTTCTAACTCTCACACTAGTTCAACATGTCTGTAAATTTGGTGACACGACATCATGAGAAGACTCACCTCTCTTACCACAGCTGGGAGGTCACTATGCAGGTGAATAATCTTGGCCAAGGCCACTCGCACAGCACCATAGCTGAGGCCATGTCTACTGGTTGGCTTCATCTTGGCCACAGCTGTAATTGTTATATAGGGTTCCTTTTCTTATACCTGTACAGTACTTTTTGTTAACATTTATATTCTCAGTTAGTGTTTTATATCCAAAAGGAGATGGTAACCACCTCTTTTCATCAAGGGAATTTTAATGAGACTTTTCTGGAGACATTTCTTTTACATTGTAGACTCAACCTGATGGGGTAGATATGAAGATATAAAATAAATAAAACTTTATGAAATCACAGTCCAGTATAACTGTCTACAAATTATCAATGTCATGTCAACAACAATCTCTGAGGAAAACTACAGTACATAACCAAACCATTCATAAAGGCAGGTGGCAACCAATAACCACACTCAACTCAACCTAACCAAACTAAAAAAAAAATTAAATATTCTAAGATCATTAAGTCAGATTTGGTTGGTTCATATCATCTATATCAGCATATATGACTTAGGTAACAGCCTCTCTGAAGGAACAATATTAACAAGATGATGAAGCTTCTAAAAGGACAGTTCTCACATTATATAAACTTCTACTTGTGCTATTTCTCCCCACTTCTCTCTGGATTTCTACACTTTAAATTAATGCCACATATTCAAGAATCAATACTGAAAAAAAAAAATATCAGGAAATAAGGTGGTAGATGATTTCCTTGACATTTGCAATGTTGAATTCTCTTGATAAAATTGAACAATGGAGATGAGAAAAAGACCAGGTCAGGAAGAAATTTATGAGATATACTGAAAATACAGATGAGAGAGAAGGAACGGCACAACGAGGAAGACTATTACATGGGAATACTAGGAGCTGTTATAGTGAGTGGTCGAAAACATATTTGGTAGTTTTAGGTCAGGTAAAGTTAGGTTAGATTAGATTTGGTAAATTTGCTTAGGGTAGGTTAGGTTTGGTAAGTTAAGGTAGGTTAGGTTAGGTTTGGTAAGTTAAGGTAGGTTAGGTTAGGTTTGGTAAGTTAAGGTAGGTTAGGTTAGGTTTGGTAAGTTAAGGTAGGTTAGGTTAGGTTTGGTAAGTTAAGGTAGGTTAGGTTAGGTTTGGTAAGTTAAGGTAGGTTAGGTTAGGTTTGGTAAGTTAAGGTAGGTTAGGTTAGGTTAGGTTTGGTAAGTTAAGTTTAGGTTAGGTTTGGTAGGTTAGGTTTGGTAAGTTAAGGTAGGTTAGGTTTTGTGTAAGTTAAGGTAGGTTAGGTTTGGTAAGTTAAGGTAGGTTAGGTTTGGTAAGTTAAGGTAGGTTAGGTTAGGTTAGGTTTTTGGTAAGTTAAGGTAGGTTAGGTTAGGTTAGGTTTGAGGTAAGTTAGGTTAGGTTTGGTAAGTTAAGCTAGGTTGGGTTTGGTAAGTTAAGGTAAGGTTAGGTTAGGTTTGAAGTAGAGTTAAGGTAGGTTAGGTTAGGTTTGGTAAGTTAAGGTAGGTTAGGTTAAGTAAGTTAAGCTAGGTTAGGTTTGGTAAGTTAAGCTAGGTTAGGTTTGGTAAGTTAAGCTAGGTTAGGTTTGGTAAGTTAAGCTAGGTTGGGTTTGGTAAGTTAAGCTAGGTTAGGTTTGGTAAGTTAAGCTAGGTTAGGTTTGGTAAGTTAAGCTAGGTTAGGTTTGGTAAGTTAAGCTAGGTTAGGTTTGGTAAGTTAAGCTAGGTTAGCTTAGATTAGATTTGGTAAATTTGGTTAAGGTAGGTTAGGTTTGGTAAGTTAAGCTAGGTTAGGTTAGGTTAGCTTAGATTAAATTTGGTAAATTTGCTTAGAGTAGGTTAGGTTTGGTAAGTTTAGCTAGCTTAGGTTTGGTAAGTTAGGTTAAGTTTGAGAAGCTAGCTTAGAACAGCTTAGGTTAAGTTTGAGAAGCTAGCTTAGAACAGCTTAGGTTAAGTTTGAGAAGCTAGCTTAGAACAGCTTAGGTTAAGTTTGGTAAGTTAGGTTATTTTAAGTTAGGTTTGGTATGTTAAGCTAGGTTAGATTTACTTTATTGGAGTGGGTCGGTAAAATTG